TTTTTTTCCGTTCTGCACTACCAGTTGTCCGAGGCTCGGCAATAAAGTCCGAGGCTCGGGAATGACCGGGCTACCGGTAGCCTGAGCCACGGGCCTTGACAACCGGTAGGTACTGGTGGTTTAATGGGGTGATATGATCATCCCCTTTAAGCAGGACCCGGTAGTGAAGGCTCCATCTATTGGTGGGGAGCGGCACCTGCTGGAAATCGGGTCAAGCGTCCCTGTACATATGAGAAGCCTTGTGTGGCCACTGCCTGTGTCTTATGCATGCGTTGTTCCCAAGAGTGGTAACAGCTGTGTAATGTGCAAAATGTATACCTTGACTGCGTTTACTGTGTAGGTTGTGCCCAGGTGTGTGCAATTGTGTACAGTGACAACATTTTGAGTATGATATGAGCTGTGTAAACATGTGTGTGCTGTGCAAGGCATGAGTGTATCTTCTGTGCGCCCAGGTGTGTGCAGTGTTGACCAAGACTGTCTTCAGAGTGGGTTGTGCCCTGGTGATGTGTCAGCAGGGTGTCTCCCTATGTGGCAGGAGGCATTGACTGCTTCCCCATGACTAGGGAAGGATTAACCTCCAGGCTGCTGGGCCTGTTCAGACGCCCAACACATGGCCGACGTGTTTAGCTTGCCATGTGTCACCTGTCGTTTGGTGACGTGGACGCCCCGCGACGCATGAACAGGGGAAGCGCCAGCTGTGAATGATTGGAGAATTTCTGCAAGCGGCGCGGTCTGTGGGTGAGCCATGACTGCCATGGAGGAGACGTTGGTGAGAGCGCTACATAATGGAGCAAACGAATGGCGGATTACCTTGGAGAAAGGACGAAGATGGCTACAGGAGATTGTGAGGGACATGTCCTTAAGGCTACGAAGGGAGCCGGAGGTCGAAGGGGCAGCGATCGTTCTGGTGGGCTGGCTGAAGGACAAAAGTGAGGATACGCTGGCGATCATGTGGGAGCTGGAGGAAGGGCCGGATCCTCGGCTTGATGCCTGCATCGATTGGAAGAGGGCAGATGGCATCCTGTCAGCCTGCAAAACCTTCTATGAGGAGGGTCGTGATCTGTATGATGTTCTCGAAGACAGGTTGGCGGCCGTCTTCAATCGTGAGAGTACATACGAGGTAACAGCGGTAACAGCGGTGACGTCAACAACAACGACGGCAACGGAAGGGAGTGACAACAACAACAGCAACAATGATAACATCGACGACGACAACATCGTCAACAACAACAACAACAACAACAACAACAACAACAACAACAACAACAACAACAACAACGGCGACGACAACGACGATGGCGGCCTGCAAGTTGGAACGCGAATGGGGTTTGTCATCTCCCCCTCCTTCAACGACAGCATCGTCAGCAACGATGACTACAACAACGACAACAGCAACAGCAGCAGCAACAACAACAACAACAACAACAACAACAACAACAACAACAACAACAACAACAACAACAACAACAACGACAACAACAACAATAATAACAACGACGACGACGATGACGGGTACAACTACGATGATGACCACGGCGGCCACATCCATAACATCTATAACTACGGTGACGACGACGGCGGCCGCAGCCAAGGGAGCAGCGACGATGACGACGGCAACCATAACTACGACGACGAACGGCAGCATCTCGGTGGTCGAGTTTATCAACACCGCGATGGGGGTCGCTCTCCCCCTCGCCAAGACTCATATGGGGTTCCTCCTCCGAGTCGTGTTGCAGTGGAGGATAGGGGTCGAATAGATGGGGCAGATTGGTATTGCCCGGCCTGCAGTACCAATCATTGGCCGGGGGCTGATCGCCTTGTTGGTTGGGGGTGGGACGTTGGGGGGGGGGTGATCGTCTTGTTGGGTGCTGCTGATAAACGCATATTGGATACTGGGCTGGACGTCCGGATCATACATCTCTCATCATGGATAGAGCTTAGTTTTTAGGCTTGATTCATAAAAGATAATACACATCATATAGTGATTGGGGTTTCGAGACTAATAGAATATGGCCCGGGTTATACATATCTCATCATGGATAGAGCTTCTTTTTTTGGCTGGATTCATAAAAGACCATTCACATCATACAGTGAGTAGGGTTTCATGACTAATAGAATATGGGTATAGATAGATTGTTTCTGTCTGTTTCCGCTTGTTGGATATTGGGTTCCGTGCCTGTTTCCGCCTGTTGGATATAGATTTACAACATGAAATGGGGACGCTGGATCTGTCTCCAGCGAATACAAACCACATCACTGTGATGCACATTACAGCATGGTTAGGATTTCGTGTGATTGGATTGATGACTCAGCTTGGTTTAGAGTTTCTATGGATTAGATGGACAGGTTGTCGGACCCGTTTTCCGGCACATATATTCACACCTTTGTACACCGACGCTGGACCTGATTTCCAGTGGATACATTTTTCATCATTGTACAGGGACGCTGGAACCGTTTTCCAGCAGGTGTAGCTCCCCACCAATAGATGGAGCCTTCGACGCCGGGGCCTACTTACCGGGGGTGCTCTTATCACCTCGTTAAGTAGGTTCCCCGTATATGAAGTTTGATTTAAAAAAAAAAAAAAAAAAAAACTCCTGTCGTGTCGATCCGCAATCAGAGGGCATCTCCTGCTCCATCATCAGGTACGGTAACCCCGTAGAGTCGCTGTCTTGTCGCAGTTGTAGAGAAAGGTATGGGCCTTTGATATCCACCCCTTTCTGTGTGGGTTGTTGCTGGAAGGGAAGCCTGTCATCAGGCTTTCTTTTTTATTGTTATTGTCTTGTCCCAGTCTTGTGCCAATCCTGCAAATGGAAGGTCTAACTTTTGTTTTTTATTAAAAAAAAAAAAAAAAAAAAAAGGGGCAAGTACGTTTATATCACCTTTTGATTTCGAAAGGGCAAAAAAAACACCAATGGGCAACGAAAAAATGGCTGTAGTTCTAAAAGGCAGAAATAACAGCAA